AGTGATAGTGGAGAAAACAGCAAATATTTTAAAAGAAGCAGTAGCAATTATATTCAAAGTCACAGTTTAGATCTGGGAAGGAGAAACAGATTCATATTCCTCTGAGATTGAAGGAAAAGGAAAGAAGCTAAGCTAAAGATTCATTTGAAGTCATTAAAAAAAAAATGAGAGTCTAAAGAAAAGGAAGTGTTTATGATAGATAGCTTAAAGAATACCATTAAGATTTCCTGAATGGAAAGGAATGATAATAGGATGAATAAAAGGATTGCCACACCAACCTTTTAGGTTAGTTGTTTTTAAGCACCTAGTGTCAAAACACTGCACAAGATTTTCATCTTCCTAGAGTGCAAGATAGAGCAACTGCCTTAAGTGAGTTTATAGTCGTGAACAGATACGATATAAACCTGAGAGTTCAGATTGTAAAGTCATAAAAGTTACCAAGTGAATGGTATTATAGATACCGTATGAATTTATAACAGCATGTAGGAGAGAAATTTGTGTACAGGTATATATACTCTGAGCTCCAGCTCTATTACTAAAAGTTCACATGGCATTAGACACATATCTGTGGCCCTCAGATTCTTCATCTGTAAAATGAGGGGCGAGACTAGACAGTTCCTAAATTCCTTTCTTAGAATCTGTGAGAAAACCAAAGAACAGTTGACGCTGACCTGGATATAACAGAGATGAGTCTCAGAAACAGTCAAGGTGAATGAAATGGCGTGAGAAAAAAACACAGGGCTTGTTTGGAAGGCAGCGTGTGATGCATCGGTTGTGTTTTTTCTGAGAGTTCATGAATGTGGTATTTTTCTCTTTGAGTATAGTTGTCTTACACACTTTATATTTGTATAATAAACTCTCAGGAAATATTTTTAAGTAAGTGACCTTGCATATCCAGAACTGGTAGAACCAAATTATTTTGGAGGTTATGTTATTTTTGTTGGTACAGAGAAACGGGGTCGGGGTTGGGGGAAGAGTTAGCTTCAATTTGTAGTCCTATGCACTGTTTCAGAAATTCAACTGCTAATCTTCAAAACAAGACATTTTTACCAGGATGAGGCAGTTTTCAAAGTATTTAATATTCAGGTGATAGTTATCAATTTGAGGCAAGGGAATATAGAACTAATACTAAGTAACTACCCCATGCCATGTACTGTCTAGGCTAACTTAGGTGCTTCAGCCGATCCTTAGAACATAGGTGCTAGTTGTATAGACATAAAAACCGATGTACAGAAGTTAAAATAAGTGTCTCCATATGTACAACTAGTCAGAGGCAGAGACAGTTCAAGAGCTCATCTCCTTTCCACGAGGTTCCAAAAGTGCTGGTTTCTGACTCCAGCCTCAAACTATGAAATGGTATCATAAGGGACATTTACAAAAAACACATATTATTTACGTATCTGACCCCAAATCCATGGAAATCTAGGCCTCAGTCGTCATGTTTTAACAAGGCTGTGGTATATTAAATAACAACAAATCCTAAATACGGCATGTATATTGAAAGACAGTTGTAAAGTAGCTTTTTTTCCCCCTTTTTCATTGTGTCCTACTCTTCCAGGCTACAATTAAGAAAACACTCATTTCTCTCATTTTGTTTCAGGTATCTATTTGTCAGATTTAACATACATTGATTCAGCATACCCATCAACTGGCAGCATTTTAGAAAATGAGCAAAGATCAAATTTGATGAATAACATCCTTCGAATAATTTCTGATTTACAGCAGTCCTGTGAATATGGTACGTTTTTGGGGAATACTACTGCACCATTATGCTGTGATTCTGTTGGTTCATTTACCTGAACCAACCATTTGCCTTCATTAGCCACTTTTCACACAGCAGGGAACATTATCCTAATATAAAGGAGAATAGTGATTGTTTCATTTCACTCTTTAATATTTAGTATCCTGTTTGAGATTTTGCTTTTAAGGAATTGAAATATTTCATATTTAAATTTTTAAGTTTTATCTTTCACTCTTCTGCTACTTTGTAGAAACTGTGCTAACATTATTTATAAAATTATTTTTTATTATCTTCATGTCATTTGATATTCCTCAACTATTATGTAAATATTTCTTACATTTTTCAGTTAGGGAAGGAGCTAAGACCTCTGATCTTGGTAACAATTGACTAGCTTTCTTGAGTTCGATAATGGGTAGATAACCAATTTTTGTTCAAGATGTAGTTTATGGAAACACATATGTAGAAAGAGCTTACACAAACTCAGGTGATGAGCAAAAGGGTGTAGATTTTTTTTTTAATGTTTTATGATGTTTGGATGCTTTCAGTTTGATAGGGAATAAAGATACCCTAGTGGTATGTGTTTTTATAATATTAAAAAACAGTGAGCATACTGTTTAAATTATCTGATTTATTTAAAATAGATTTGTCTTAAAGCTAACTGATATGCATGTATACTTTTAAGAAAACCTCAAAAACTTCCTGAAAGTGTATATGAGGAAGGAAATTTATCCAATACATGGGATTTTGTCAATGGAATTGTTTGGGGAGAAACCAGAGTATGTTTGCTTTTTTTTT